TATCGGATTCTAATGAATGTTCAGCGACGACATCTATTGGGCAGACGAGAGAGTGCAAAAGCTTTCTCTCTCTGTCTCTGTCTCTTTCTCTGCGTTTGTTTGTTTGTTTGTGAGTGTGTGTGTGTGGCTGACTGACTGTCTGTATGTTTCTTCTCTCTTCTCTCTCTCTCTTCTCTTCTCTCTCTCTCTCTCTCTCTCTCTCTCTCTCTCTCTCTCTCTCTCTCTCTCTCTCTCTCCTGCGCGCACGCTGTATGTTTGTCTGTGTCTGTGTTTCTCTCTCCCTCTCTCTGTAGGTCACTGTAAATATTTTGCTGTCATAGTCACAGTTTCCACTTTCCTGACACTAAAAATAAGATAATACCGACAAACCACTACACCTGATAAAGCTTATTTTTACAATAATGGCGACACATCATAAATGACAATACAAAAATGACTGCACCAACAACAATAACAAACAAACAAGAATCGAAACGATAAAACGAGACAGACTGAACCTAATCCTAAATGGAATGTACCGACTGTCATTTTTTTCCACGTTGATATAAGACGAGAAAAAGAAAGTCTGCTTCGAATGCCATTCATAGGGTGTCTGATCCCTTCTACGCGGTCGTGAATCCCCTTTAACGGGCTGATAACATCTATACAGACTAAACGTTGCGTCATCTATAACCCACGTGGAAAGCTATTAAAAAAAAAAAATAGTCCCATGTCCGTCCACCTACACACGAAATTTATGAAATGTAAAATATTTTTATTTATGTTCGTGGATATGTAAATGTTATCGGTAAAAGAGTTTTAGAAAGTTGCTTTCTAATTTTCAGTTTCAATGCACTGAGCGGATAAAAAAGTTGCTGAAAAGCGTTTCAAAAACCCAATAAAAATGTGAATAAGCTGAAATTGCGTTTGACTAGGGATGACTATCATCTGCAAAGGTATTGTAGAATTATGTTAGTCATGATAAATGATCACATTTTAAACCGGATTTCAAAACTCGCTAGGCAAAAACACACATACACGGACGCACGCACGCACGCACACACACACACACACACACACACACACACACACGCACGCGCACGTGTATACGTGTGTCTATCTACATCTATGCATAGTTTTGTTTAATCTTACAGATAGGCATATCGGTTGATTCATAGATAGATAAATGAATGCAAATTTATTCAGCAAATAAATTTATTCAGGCAGACCGATGAATATACACCTAAATACAAATATTCACTGGCTCATGACAACGAAACGGAACAAAAGCAATGTATGACATAGAACAGTGAAACGTTAAGACTGATCTAGGCAACGGTCACGAGTTGAGAATAAAAAAGGAAGATGCTTGAATTAGGAAGGAGTGGCGAGAAGGAACGAGATTTTGTGTCAATCAGTCAAGACACAAATGCAAGTTTCTACGCAATCTGCAATAAGGCTTGCAATGCAAGACATAAAACACCCAAAGCCATCAGGGCAATTGCACGTTTCGCTTAGCATCTTCGTGCAATATAACAGACGAGAGGCAGTTCACCTGTGCTGTTGCAGAGACAAAAACCTGGTCGTGCAAGAAGCGCCTGGCCCACTCGCCACCAGGTCTATAGGTCTCACATACACATTAACCTGTTTGTGTCGGTTAGAAGACGGTATACGGAAGGGTTTCGTTCTACACAAGGGTATGACGTTATAAAGAAGGATTCTGTATTAGATTTCTCAATGTGTGCAACTTGCATGCAGCGTAGCGCGTGTGCTCTTGACCGAGTTTAGTTATGTGAGTCAGTGGATTGCATATTCGAAATACATACCGATGGTTTAGATACAAAAGGATGTCGTCCACATGAAACACAAAGTGAACAAAGAAGTACATAAAGAAAATAAAAGATAATTTTGTGCGCAGATTCGATGCAAAGAATCCCAAGGAAGGAAATAAAGGCTATAGTCAGACAGCCTTCGGTAACTACAGAGGTCGTGTCTATGAGACGCAGTGGTCGTCGTAAGGCCAGGGGGCGGGGGGGGGGGGGTTAGTACCAGAGGGCGCGTGGTAGGGGGAAGGGGGAGGAGATAAACACTTTGGAGGGGGGGGGGGGTAAATGGAAAGGGGGAGAAGAGTAACAGAGAAGGGGAAGAAGTACGAAGAGAAAGAGAGAAGGGGGAATGGGTAAGGGGATAGGAAGTACCAGAGAAAAGGATAAAAAGGGAGGAAGTAGGGAAGAAGCAGAAAGGAAAGAGTGCTTGTGGAAGGACAAGGAGAGGGAGAATGCTAGGAAGAGATTGTAGCAGGAAGAAGTCGGGGCTGGAATAAAACCAGGGAGAGAGAGTGGTGAGTGGAAAAGAGGAGAGAGAGCTGGGGAGGGGAGGGGGGGGGAGGGGCACCAGACCGGTTGTGCGAGAAGGAAGGGCCTCGATACCCAGTGACCGGCCCACGTGCAAGGTCTGTGCATCACAATCCAAGAATGAGGGAGCCAGGTCGCTCGCTGTGGATGGCGAGGAGGGGGGAGGGGGGAGGGAGACGCGTTGAAAAATTCTTCCTCTCTCTCTCTCTCTCTATTTTACTTTGTCCTTTGTCCCTTCAAACTCCTAGTCTCCCACTCTTAGCCTATCTTTTCTCGCTCTCTCTCTCTCTCTCATTCTCTTTCTCCCTCCCTCTCTCTCCTCTCTCTCATTCTCTCTCTCTCTCTCTCTCTCTCTCTCTCTTTCTCATTCTCTCCCTCTCTGACAATAAAACAACGTCGAAAACCAAAACTATAAAGAATAAAAAAATAAAAATATATTCTTTTTGTAGAGGTAAAAAATGTCCCACATAGCACATATATACCCACGTACCCCCCCCCCCCCCCGCCCCATACACACACACGCGTACATACAGTGGGTGAAGGCCAGGTCTCATCTTCCCACACAGGTAGATAATGGTGAAAGCAGACCCCTCCCCTTCCTCTCCTCCCTCCTTCCCTCCCTCTCCTCCTTCCTCATTCTCTCTTCCCCCCTTTCCCTCTTGACTCCTTCCTTTTCTTCTCTTTTCCCTATCTTTTCCTTCTTGGTTTACTTCTCATTTTCTTACTTCTTCCCTCCCTCACCTCCATCCTCTTTCTTCTCTCTTCCCTCTTCCTTCCATCCCCTTTCCTCTCCCTTCCCTCTTCTCTCCCTCCCCCCATCCCTTTCCCTCTTCCTCCCTCCCCCTTCCTCTCCCTCCCCCCATCCCTTTCCCTCTTCCTCCATCCCCTCTTCTCTCCCTCCCCCCACTCCCTTCCCTCTTCTCCCCCACCCCCATTCCCTTCCCTCTTCCTTCCCCTTCCTATCCCTTCCCTCCCCCCCACCCCCCCAAAGAAAAAAGATTAACCAGGTCGCACTCTTGACATGAAACACCTGTTCGAGTGGCAAAGGCGAGACATTGCAACGAAACTTTTAAATGACTCAACGCTTCCAGATTTTGGGGGGAGAGTAGCTGGGGATTGGGTTTCAGTTTTCACCCAGACGAGAAGGGCCGAGAACGTGTGATATCGATTGGGAAATTTCACTCTTATGAGGATCTCTACGAAGCAAGTCGAAGATTGATTCGTGCATATGAAGGATTGGAAACTTCACTTTTATGTATGTACCTTCGAGAAATCGTCGGTCCGCGTAGGATGCACAGAGGATTGGAAATTTCGTCTTTTGTGCATACATAATCTACGAATCCAACCGAGAAGAAGAACATGTAATAGACTGAAAATCTGCACACGAAAACCAGACGAAAGGAAGAGGAATAATGAGAGAGAAAGCATGGGGAGAAAATGAGGACGGGAGAAAGTGTGTACGCGGAAAACAAAGACGGAAAGAGAGAGAGAGAGAAAAAGAGAAAAAACCGACAAGCTAATTTAATCAGTCGACCAGTTCCCAAAACGATAAAGATAAACGAACAGTTATTAAACACGAAACACGAGAGCAAACCTTTGTACTTCCCTTATCATCTTGCAATCAATAAAAAAGGCCACCAAGTCATCTCAAAAGCCGCTTCTTGCAAATAACAAAAGTCATCTTGGCCTACAAACACGAGATCGGAAAAGCAGGGTCAATATATTTCTTATTCTTATTTCTTAAATGAGATCTATTCATTCGACTATTTTGTCCATTAAGAAATAAAAAAGAAAAGAAAAAAAAATAGAAAGAATCTCTGATGTCTCAACAAACTGTAGCATTCCCTTAAGACGTGGAGAAAATCAGTCTATTTTTCTAAGTCATCCCTAGAAAGTAGGCCTATCAGTGTGCCAGACTGGAAACGGCCTCAACATTTCCTCGCGGTTTGGCAAAAATTGGCCGTGAAAAGAAGAACAGATAGAAAAAAAAATCTCAATGACTGTGAACAATTAAAATGACAAATAAAATAAATGAATTAACAAAAAAAGAAGAAGCAAATAATCAAATCACACGTTACAAGTTTTGAAAGCGGTATATTATGTTACATTTAAAATTTGGCAAATCCGAGAAAGTTTCCGCCCACAAAAAAAAAAGAAAAAAAAAGGAAAAAAATTGCCAGTGGGGTTATATGTCACGTTTAATGAGACGGAGAATTTACACAATAAAGAAGGAAATGGGACACCAATAAAAAGAAGAGTGAAAATTAAATGAGTCTGTATTGTTTTATGATAATTCGTATTGGTTCTACAGCAATAATGGATGTAATTAACATAGTGCTGTAATTACTACCAAAGAATCTATGATGAAATTGAATGTAATGATAATATCCATGGTACTAAACTGATGATACCAATAATAGTAATGGTAGTAACAGTAGAAATAAAAGTAGTAGTAGTAGTAGTAGTAGTAGTAGCAGTAGTAGAAGTAGTATTAGTAGTAGTAATTAAAAAAAAACACTACTAACACTAACAATAAAACCTTCTTGTTCCATTATTCCTCCCTTCCTTCTTTCCGCGCCTTTCTCCTTTTTATTCCATCATTCCTCACTTCCTTCTTTCCGTGTCTTTCTCCTTTCCCTTCTCCTCTTCCACTGAACCGAAACTCACCTGAGAAACGCGGGAGGTAGATACTAGGGGGCACCAGGGGGGAGGGGGCGGCGGGGGGCGGCGCCAACAGCAGCGCCACCACGCCCACCTGCAGCGCCACCCACGCCCATGACGCCATCACCAC